AGCTAGAAAACCGAGTGTGTTGTGAAAGTTTTCGGTGAACTAGAAAACCGAGTGTGAGGAGTGAACGTTATTCGGTAAGGGTTGAAAACCGACACTGTGAGGTGTAAACGTTATTCAGGTGAACATAGAAAACCCGGTCGTGATAGTGAATTTCTCCCCGGGAGTGGGGAGCGGAGACGTAGGACGGAAGGTCCGAACTCCGTGATCATATCGTGTATTTGAGTTTGCTTTGGCGCCTTTATCTTATGTTTATATTTCTTGTCACCATTGTCCTTAGCTCATTATTTCTATCATCCACTATCTAGTTCATATTGTTTACCCTTGTATTAGTTTATATATCCTTGCATATATATTTCATCATATAGGATATATCTCATTATTCATATTGCTTATCCTAGCTCATATAACTTGTTGTATTTCATACTTGCTAGGATAACTTGTTAATTATTTTTAATTGGCATTTAAATCGGATTAGATTAGCATAAGACCCTAATCACCCCCCTCTAGGGTCTAACAATATATCTTCCTAAAAATTTAATAGTGAATGACCAACTACAATCATCATAATTTAAGCATAAATAATTATTATTTTAGTTACTGATTTGATGCGCGCAACTATGAACTAAATCTCTAACAAAAAATAGGAATTGACATTGTATTATGATGTAAGTAAATAAATAAATATTATTAGAGATTCTCTTTATATTAATTTTAAAAGTAATAATTTAAATTATTAAGCACCAAATATTAACTCATGTGAGAAAGTATAGTAATCTATGGTCTATATGCGTACATAGTCAATCAATCAAACGTAATAAAATTATGATGACCACATTCAAAATTACATGGTGGGTTCATATTAAATATAATTTATAAAAAATAGTACATTAAAGTCAAAATCTTTTTAATCACTATATAGATTGTCTAAACATTTTTGCATATATAAACTATATTGCCTAGGAATAGTGATGTGCACACTTAACTATGGTCTAATAATCTTAAGAATGACCTACTCTTCAATATAACTATTAATTGACGTATCTGTGTATTACACTGAAAACACAATAAAAATTAAGAAAACTATAAAAATAAACACCCTCAAAAGTTTTTAAAATTAAAAAAAACACCATAAAATTTTATAATTTACAAATACATAAAACTATTAAACAATACATTGATATCAAGGAATTACAAAAAATCATTAAAAATTTTCAAACATTGGATGGGTAATTTGAAATGGACTAAACTTTAAGGTTTTTTTGTAAATTTTAACTTTAATAAATTTTTAAATAGTTATGTTATTTTCAAAAAAGTTATGGGTAATATTTACCATAAAAAGTTTTTCCTAAACCTATACAAGGTGTATGATATTTTTGTAAAATTTTAATTTTCTAGGGGTTATTAGTAATTTTGCATATTCATTTTAATGTCTATAGGTTAGAAATTCTCATGGTGTCTTTTTGTAAATTATGAATTTTAGTGGATTTTTACAATTTTTTAAACTTATAGGTCTTTTCAACATATTATAAATTGTTTATAGACTAATTAGAATTCATATACTTTCAATTTACTAATAAATTTGAAATTCTCAGGGTGTTTTTTGTAAATTTTGAATTTTAAAGGTTTATTTGTAATTTTTGAAACTTTAAGGGTGTTTTCTATAAATTGTAAATTATATAGGGGATATTTATAATTTCTATATTTTCAATGTACTATTAAGTTAGAAATTATCAAGATTTTTATAAATTTTACAATTTTGAGGCTTTTATTTTACAATTTGTAAAAAGTTCAGAGTGCGTATTGCAAATTCCATTAAATTTTGGGGGTTGTTTATGTTATTTGTATATTTTTAGTGTGATTATAGGTTTGAAATTTTTAAGTTATTTTTTTATAAAATTTGAATTTTAGGGGTGTTTTTATAATTTTAAAACTTATAAGATATTTTCTCCGAAGTTAAAAAACTTTTAGTTTTTAACTAGCATATATTTTTTAGATTTCTCACTGAATTGAAATAAGTAAAATTTATAATTTTTAAGATGCTTTAATAAAAAATTTTAATTTGTAGGGGTATTTTTGTAATTTAAAAAAATTAGAGAACATTTTCTACAAAGTCCAAAAACTTTTAAGTGTTGGCTAGCATATGTTTTTTAGATTTCTCTACAAACTAAAATAAGTAAAGGATTTGAATTATGTGAAACATATCTCTTTTATCCAATAATATGTTAAGTCTCATTATGAATAGAATAAATAATTTAGTTACCAATTCAATGAAGATATGATAATTAGAATAGATTAGAATAATATTGTAATATTCAAAAAAAGCTAATGATAATATTGACCATAGAATGATTTTTCTGAACTCGTGCTTTTAAAAGGAGTATGATATGTAATGTTTTTTTTCTTTATTATGTTATATGGATGTTTGCTTGGGTTACTTATAATTCTCTTATTTCTTTAGTAAGTTGTATGTTTGGAGGTGAGGGTGTGTGTGTATTACATTGACCTGAGTTCCCCCCTACAAAATTGAGACATATATAAGATGAATCTTATATATATGTATACGTGTGTGTGCGCGCATGTGTGCATACACACACATATTGTTGACACAATTTATGATGATATGCATATTTTTCCTATAAATTTGAGACATATATAAGGCGATCTTATATATAGTGGCCTCTAATAAGATTTTTTGTAAGGAAATATGTACCTTTCATATTTAAATATCTTGAAATCTGATAGCTCTATTACATGCATATCTTTGATCATGTCATCAGGAATTGATCCCGTTGATAGCCATATCCTGAATTAAAGTTACATGCAGAGCAATGCCACCGTATTGGAAAAAATGTCGATTTTTTTTTACGCTATTGTAAATAAAATATCATATGTATACTTTTTGTCCACTATAATAATTTTCACCTTCTTATCTGGCTTGTTATGTCTTGCAATATATGACGTTGTTGATCAATGGCTCTTCGTTAGTTTCTATTACAATATTATTTGCATATAACTTTGTTATGATTTCTTTAGTATTTGAAGAATAAAATATGAAAATTTATAAATACTTATTAATTTTTCATATATCTTTCACAGAGAATGCTTCTTTGATGGGGACAAAGTTGTTCAATATGTTATTCAAGTGAAACTCAGTCGATATTTCATTGAGACATATGTCCTTTTCTAATGTCAATTAAAATGATTCGTGGGCATTTTTTGAATTTTGGTTCCAGATCTGGCCAGACCCTCCCTCCTCCTCCTCTCCTCCGCCCCAACTAGCCGCTCCACGCCTCGCTGCTCGTTCCCACTTCGCCATACTCGCTACCTGCCTCGACCTCCTCAACTGCCCTCTTTCTCAAGTTTCCTCTTCGCCGTAGCCGTAACCCCCAAGTCATGGCTTCGAACAAATTGAGAGTGTCTACATCTACGATTCCTTCAATATGGTGTAAGTATTCGAAATTCTCATGTCCTATTTTTGTTCTGTATGAAGCTCAGAATTGCATATTGTATCTGATCATTATGTTCACTGATGGGTTTGGTTTGGATTTCGATTTGGGTGTGTAGTTTTTGTGTCTTAACTTCTTAAAGTTATGATTTTTTGTGTGGGTGAATTGTAAAGGTTGAGTTTTTAGTTCCTGTGAGCTTGATTTTGAATGGGGGTGAAATACAGTAGTTGAACATGTCTATAATATGAACTCATTTTGATGATGTTCAGTTTAGTTTTCTGTTAGTGCAGCACTTATTAATGGTTGAATCTACTTATACATTGAAAATGCCAATAATGTGGATGATAATGAGTATCTATTTCTCATACTCTGAAAGACATCAATTTGACTGTGAATTAGTGTTAAGTGAATCTTATCTTGTGTTGTACTCTGAGACTACAGTATGTATATTCACAAGAGAAGGATGAAATAATTTGAATTTTTTTGTGATGCAGGAAAAGCTAGCAGAGCATTTTTCACCTCAAACGGGCTTGACATCGAACTCATCCAGTAGTCCTTGTCGCTCCACGCTCCCTGATCGCCGTTGCTCCCCACTACAATTACTTGTAGCAGTAGTCGTAGCCCCCAAGCCATGGCTTCGAACAAAAGGAAGGGATCGTCATCCTCGATTTCTTCAAAATCAAAGTCTTCCTCTAAATGCAAGAATCCTCTTTCATCGTAAGTAAATTTTGATGAAGATTTTTTTCATTTTAGGAATTGTTTAACCTTTTTACAGGTACAAAACTGATGGTTAAATTATTCTTAATTTGCACTTAATGTAGGTAGTATGCATACTTACTACCTACTACTTTGTACTTTCTTAATGTAAAATTTATGGTGATTATTATCATGTCGAGTATTTATTTTAGAGATAATGTTAGGGTTTAAATGCGTGTTTTTCGGCATGTAATATATACATAGCTATTCTTAATTTGCCCAAGTATATTTAATTTTTAACCTTCTGAATTATAATTATCTTGTAGGGCTATGATAACACAATTAAGAATTCCGTCCAATATTTGTTATTTTCGAGATTTAATTGATAAGCGTATAGTATTAGATGAAAGGCATATGAAAGCCCTTGAGACGACACATTTTCACAACTTTCTACGGATACCCGCATCATTGAACAATGAGCAAATAGCAATTGAATGCTTAATTCAAAATTTTAATCCTTATAAATGCTCATTTTTAATTGGAAATAAAGATTATGTATTTGGTATAGAGGATATTCATCGAATTACCGGTTTGCCAAAGGAGGGATTCCAATAAAAATGAGTGGAATAGAGAGTAATAGAATCTACACCCAAATTATAAAGAATTATAAGACACTCAAGGAGAAGAATGGTAGTAGGAGTAAAGGCAAGAAAAAAGTCGATGAGAAAAAGAAGGCGGTGATTTGGGGGAAGCGCGATAGAATGGCTGAGATAATTGTAGATATGACTAATAAAGACCATGTAACATGTGTGAAACTTATTGTGGCTTTCATTATCGGCTTCATATTATGCCCGCGGACATCTAGGACATGTCCCTTGTGGGCGTTTCGATATGCAGTGCAGTTGTCCACTTTGAAGAAATATAATTAGTGTCTTGTAGTATTTACTTTTCTTTGCAAAGAGATGAATAAGGCGAAGAAGTCACTTAGTATGAGGAGCTTAGGGGAGCGTTCATGCGCTGGTTACATAGGTGGTTTTTCCTGGGTATTACTGGTGAGTTACATGATTATTACTTTGTAAAACTTTTTTTGACAATGATTATTGTTTATGCACATTATAATGAATATTTTTTTGTAGGTTTGGTTTTATGAAATAGTGAAGTTTTATAACTCATAGTTCTAAAAAAATTTTGTAACTCCTTACTCAAATTTTTAACTCCTTAGACCAGTTTTGTACCTAGTTAGTGAAGTTTTGTAACTCATAGTTCTTCGAAAATTTTGTAACTCCTTACTCAATTTTATAACTCCTTAGACCAGTTTTGTGCCCAGTTAGTGAAGTTTCGTAACTCATAGTTCTAAAAAAAATTTGTAACTCCTTACTCAGTTTTATAACTCCTTAGACCAGTTTTGTGCCTAGTTAGTGAAGTTTTGTAACTCATAGTTCTAAAAATTTTTGTAACTTCTTACTCAATTTTTTAACTCATTAGACCAGTTTTGTGCCCAGTTAGTCAAGTTTTTTAACTCTATAGTTCTTCAAAAATTTTGTAACTCCTTACTTAATTTTATAACTTCTTAGACCAGTTTTGTACCCAGTTAGTGAAGTTTTATAACTCATAGTTCTAAAAAAAATTTGTAACTCGTAATTCTTAGAAAATTTTGTAACACCTTACTCAATTTTATAACTCCTTAGACCAGTTTTGTACCCAGTTAGTGAAGTTTTATAACTCATAGTTCTAAAAAAAATTTGTAACTCCTTACTCAAATTTTAAACTCCTTAGACCAGTTTTGTACCCGGTTAGTGAAGTTTTGTAACTCATAGTTCTTCGAAAATTTTGTAACTACTTACTCAATTTTATAACTCCTTAGACCAGTTTTGTGCCCAGTTAGTGAAGTTTTGTAACTCATAGTTCTTCGAAAATTTTGTAGCTCCTTACTCAATTTTATAACTCCTTAGACCAGTTTTGTGCTCAGTTAGTGAAGTTTTGTAACTCATAGTTCTAAAAAAAATTTGTAACTCCTTACTCAATTTTATAACTCCTTAGATCAGTTTTGTGCCCAGTTAGTGAAGTTTTGTAACTCATAGTTCTAAAAAAATGTGTAACTTCTTACTCAATTTTATAACTCCTTAGACCAGTTTTGTGCCCAGTTAGTGAAGTTTTGTAACTCATAGTTCTAAAAAAAATTTGTAACTCCTTACTTAATTTTATAACTCCTTAGACCAGTTTTGTGCCCAGTTAGTGAAGTTTTTTAACTCATAGTTCTTCGAAAATTTTGTAACTCCTTACTCAATTTTATAACTCCTTAGACCAGTTTTGTACCCAATTAGTGAAGTTTTATAACTCATAGTTCTAAAAAAAATTTGTAACTTATAGTTCTTCGAAAATTTTGTAACTCCTTACTCAATTTTATAACTCTTTAGACCAGTTTTGTACCCAGTTAGTGAAGTTTTATAACTCATAGTTCTAAAAAAAATTTGTAACTCCTTACTCAAATTTTAAACTCCTTAGACTAGTTTTGTACCCAGTTAGTGAAGTTTTGTAACTCATAGTTCTTCAAAAATTTTGTAACTACTTACTCAATTTTATAACTCCTTAGACCAGTTTTGTTCCAAGTTAGAACTCATAGGTCTAAAAAAAATTTGTAACTCCTTACTCAATTTTATAATTCTTTAGACCAGTTTTGCGCCCAGTTAGTGAAGTTTTGTAACTCATAGTTCTAAAAAAATTTGTAACTCCTTACTCAATTTTATAACTCCTTAGACCAGTTTTGTGCCTAGTTAGTGAAGTTTTGTAACTCATAGTTCTAAAAAAATTTGTAACTCCTTGCTCAATTTTTAAACTCCTTCCAAAATTATCAAATAACAAATTTAAGGTACAACCGGTGCAAAGAACGCATAACTTCATCCACACATACATTATTTTAGAATCACATTATTTCGAAACATGTGATTAATGCATACAACCACATTATCATCTCGCATACTTTAGATACACACTGTTCAAAGAACACATAATTGCATCCATGCATACATAACTTTAATTCAAATTATCACATTGTTCCGAAACACATGATTATTTTAGTAATTAAAGGAAATATGCTTGCAAACCAAGTTGTTTTGGCCCTCCATTAACTTTCTCGACCTCCACCTGTAACATTTGTCATCTACAAAAAAAAATTACAACTTTATCATGAAAAATGCATCGAAATGGAAAAAACATCAAATTAAGATTAAATATAATACCTTAGCTAAAGGACAACTTATTATATAATGTCCTTTTCCCTTACAAAATCCACAAAATATTTGTTTTTTATACTATTTTCTTGAGCTATCTCCATTCCAGACTTAATTCTAGTAGCGTTAGTTGGTCGTCCCTTCGTGGCAATGGGCTTCTGGATCACGAATAGTAATTTGAGTTGCTTCCTCTATAGAGATGGGTATGGATGAAGTTGGCATCTTGTTGCTGGCATTGCTCTCATTTCCATCATCGTTAGGTTCCTTCCCTTTATTGTAATTCTCAAGTTCTTCAAAAAATGAGTCTAAAAGAGCACTAAACTTATCATGAAGTGTACTTGAAGTCAATGTATCTTCTAGTGTCTTATTACATATACTTCTAAGGGCCCAATGTTTAATGATAGGGAGTTGGTCTTCACTATTTGTAATGCAATTTCTAACAACTCCGAACCTAACATGTCTTGCATTAATTGTCCATCTTTGCATAATATATCTAGATGGAATTTCTAATACTTGCTTCTTTACTAGAATGTGCAAGCTATGTTTGCATAATATACCTTCCATCTCAAATCTCGCACAAGAGCACTTAATTCTTTTTTCTTTGGATGCATCAAAGACAACATGATGTTTTACTATCTTCTTGCTTTCAGCCTCCCTATCTATATTCCAAACGGCATAAGTAGCAATTGTGCCATCCTATGACAACCTCTCATGAAACATGGAGTAACTATCCTTGAGTTCTTTCTGAAAGATAGAAAATATATTCTTTGTATAATTCTCTCTAGCTTGTTTTTCAATTGGATATTCAATTATTAATGTAGGAATTGAGTTTGTGGACTTAAAATCTTGCTCAAGTTCAGCGGCTCGTCGAGCTCTGACGACATTATCATATTGCTTAACAAAATCATGTAACTCGGTATTGGAATTCACAAAGTGATAAAAAAACATTAATTCCCTCACTCCGCTGAGTAGATGTCATTCCTGCAGTAAAAGTATCTTTAAGATATACAGGAGCCTAATGATCTCGATGATTGTATAAATTAACTAACCAACTCCTTTTATCTGCACCATATTTGTCCTTCATTTCTTCCCAGCGCTTTTCAAAATTTTCTTCTGTTATACTCCAATACCATTTGTTATACTTTATAGAAACTTCCTCACTGTAATCATAACTCATTGATTGAAGATTTTGTAAGGCATTCCTATGAAGGTGCCAAGAACAAAAGCGATGGTGAGTTTGAGGAAAAACTTTGTGAATTGCACTACATATAGCTTTATCTTGATCAGTGATGATTGTTAATGGTGTTATACCCGACATACATTTCAGCCATTGGCTAAATAACCATATAAAGGTCTCCTCTGTTTCATCGGCTAATAGTGCACACCCAAATAGAGTAGATTGTCGGTGATGGTTAACACCCGTAAATGGTGCAAACGACAATTTTAAATTATTTGGTCTACATGTAACATCAAAACAAACAACATCCCCAAATTGCAAGTAAGAAGTCCTCGCCCTACCATCCATCCAAAAAACACTTCTCATTGTCCCATCATTTTCTAAATCTAGTGCAAAATAAAATTAAGGATCAGATATCTTTTTCTCTTGAAATTGACGAACTATGTTCACGCACTCATGGCCGACATTGCTTCTTCGTTTAATTCTTAGATGATCTTGGCATTCTTGTTGAGTGAGAGAGCCTTGTTCATTTCCATGAGCAACGTCTACAACCTTACAAATGGTAGAAGGCCGTAAACCTTGGATGTCAAGAGTATCTATCAACCTTTTTGTCGCTTGAGATTGATGAAGTGTCCGATGTGAGTAGTGCTTCTTTACCCGATTTGGGGTGGTTAACGGATGGCCATTATGATTAATATTTAAACTTCGGACCATCCATTTTCCAATGCTTCTATCAAGTCCAATAACTATCCTTGCGTTGCATCCACATCTTGTATCGGATTTTAAAATTACATTACGACCATCTTCTCTTTTATCTTTTAAAAATTTAAATCCTTCTTTGTCACATACAAATGTTCTAAATATGATTGCATCTTTCTTTCTCGACCAAGATGTATGACCCTTGCGAATACCAAATCCCTTTAGTCTGGCATATGCATTGTAAAAATATTAACCTTCCTCATGCGTAGAGAACTCCATTCCTATATATGGATCAACAACAAGATTACATTCGCTATTTTCGACACCAATAGGCCCATCAACATTCTTCTCATGCTCTGATGCCTACAAAAATAGAGAGACAAAAATTATGAAAAAGACCCAATTCATGCTAAAAGACAAATATTTTGGTATATGTCATTAGTAGTACACTCAAAATAATAAGACATTATCACCTGAGAGAAAAAACTTGTCGTAGATAGTAGATCATGGTGCTTTCCTTCAAGGTCAAGGGCTATATGTTTATTTTCATCTTCATCCATTGATGTATCACGTGAGAGAATTGTTGCAGTGTCCATACTAGCAATCAAATTTTCAAATATAAAAATGTAAAGAAACATTAAAAAATCGTCATTACGTTTATCTTTCAAAATCACTAGACAATTTCATTATCCAAGCTCAAAAACTAAAATCAATCATAATGAATAGTAGCTCAAATTGTACCAAATTCAAGATATAAGTTCAACTCTCAAATGAAATAAATATACAATAGTTCACACCAAATTTAAAGTTCATACTCAATTAAACAATAAACCTATCCCTAAATGTAAACTCAAATATAATCCCCACTATCACACATTTTGTCATATTCATAATTTACATCCCAATATCAACATGAATTACAAGATAAAAATTCCCTAACTATCATTGAGGTCTTTGCGGAGACCTGAGGGCTTTGCTGTGGCGTCGAGGGGTTTTAGAGAGTGTGAGGCAACGTGGTAGAGGGGAGCTCGAGGGAGCAGCAGCAAGGGCGGGCAAAGGCTGAACTCAAGGAAGATGGCGAGGCGGCGAATTATCATCGACGTGAGCAGGACCAAATTTGAGTTTACATGTTCACTTATTTTAACATAGGAAGCTAGTGAAAATTGGTATATTTCTCTTCAAGCATTCATCATATTCAACAACATCCAGCAAAGATTCTTATTTCACAAGCAGAAGCAAATTTGAGTTTACATGTTCTCTTATTTTAACATAGGAAGCTAGTGAAAATTGGTATATTTCTCTGCAATCAGTTGTAATATTCAAGAACATCCGGCCAATATTCTTATTTCGCGAGTGTCTAATATCGTCTTTAGTAAATATAGATCTTAAGTTTAATATCACATATTCCACACAATTTGTGCCTTGTTTGAGTTTTCCACACAGTTCATTGGAAGTCTTAATGACTATATCTTACGAGCAGACGTGATTCATTTTGTTTCTCAAGATGAATACGATGATTCATTTTGTTTCTCAAGATGAATACGATGACCCTCATATATTTTGTTGTCATTGCTGATATATTACATTATGACTGCAGGTGTTTGAAGGAACTTCCGGCATTGATGACAAGTACACTACTGTGCAATTTACTGGGGAGATAATGAACTATTCCAGCTATTGTTATTTCGTCATATCTTTGGTCCAAGTCATTCTCATGTTTAATAAGTTTTTATGAATTTTCATATTGCAGTTTTTTTGTTCAGTATAAATATGGGTGAACTACAACAATTATATCACTGAAATGTCAGAAGAAGATGATAAGTTATAGTATAAACCTTACCTAGGTCTATCATTCAATTTACACCAGAACTGCAGTATCAAAAGAAGAACAAAAGTTCATTTCCACCCAAAATCGACGCGAGCGAAGGTTGAACTCAAGTCAACTACTTGACGCGGCTATCAGGGAACACGACGTAGAGGGGCTGTCGAGCTCGAGCGGCGGGCATGAAGCGGGTAGTTGGGGCGGAGGAGAGGAGGAGGGGGGATACGGTCTGCCCAATATGGGCAGGGCGAAGTTGGGCTGAGATTCGAGTAATGAGCAGGGGCGCTCGAGGCGAGGCTCGTTGGCCGAAAGCGGGGCGGATGGGTCATGGATGAGGGGATGCGGCGATCTGCGCCGGCAGGCGATCTCGGGCAGTTCAGGAGAGGTGCAAGGAGAGGGCGCAGAGAAAGATCTTATGGGGTTTGGAATTTTTGAGAGGAGCAGGTTGGTGTAAGCCTAGGCTGAGCGGGGCGCGATCTCCAGCGGCGATCTGCTAGGCGGAGGAGAGGAGGAGGAGAGGCAGAGGAGATCTGGTGTGATTTATTGGGGTTTAGTTTCGGGGGGTTAATTTCGGGGGAGGTTATTATTATTTGGGGAATTTATTTGGGGGTTGGTTTTTTTGTTTTTTAACTAAGGGCTGAGATTTAATTGGGCTATGTTTTAACGAACGGTGCGAGAATCTGCGCCATCTTAGGTGTAAGCCTAAGGGGCAACCATAAGGTAACAGGGTATTTCCGGCATAATTAATATATATAGTATATATATATATATATTATATAGTATATATATATATATATATATATATATATATATATATATATATGGTAGGATTACAATTCATCTAGGGTGTAACTAACTTAATTACACCAACATGTAAAAGTACATGTTTGAGCGTCGATATTAACGATCAACACCATTCATCATGATCTATGCGTTCAAAACTTCATGAAGATTAAAAATATTACATAGATAAGATATTTCTAGTTAATACATCTAATGACTTAGAAATGAATGGTCTGTAACGGTCTAAAAAGTTTATTATTTTGCGTTGCTTGAATTATAGAATAGAAAATCCCAAGCCACATGAAATTTGATCCACACTTATTTGATGACATGTAGGTCATAATAAATGATGTTGATCGTTAATATGGACGTTCAAACATGTATTTTTATAGGCGTGTGTAACAAAGTTAGTTACACATTATGACGCCCTCGGATTTACACAAGGATGCAGTCCAAGGTGAAACTAAGGATGTCAAACCTACCATGCACCTATACTGTGCAATGACATGTTTCACCATCATAGAAATATCCCTCTAGTAGAATCAAATAAGACAGTACGTGTATAAGCAGATATAAAAAAGAAGAAGACAAGAAATATAACACAGAAATGTTTGATAAATCTTTAAATAATCAGGTCTCAACAAATATAAAAGAAAATATGTCCAACAATCTAAAATAAATGAACTAAAATCTCAACAACAAGAGTCAACTGAAAAGTACATAAGCTCTCTCAGCTCTCAAAATGTAACGCAAATTTGAACATAAACTAGAATATAAACTAAACATCTGTGGAGCAGAGCTACTAAACATATATGACAATGACTATGCTGAAAATCCGTCAACCTGCGGCTCTCTGAAACCCTGCTCCACTGCTTGAAAAGAAGTAAAAGCCATAACATCAGAGCGCTAGCAAGACCATCTCCATCCGCCCCCAGGAGAAGGGCTACTAGGTATGATGGAGGCTCTACGTATAAGTGCATAGTCTACCTATTTTATTTATCCTGTACTAAAATTGGGTTTAATACTTAGAAACTCACAACACGAGACTAGTACGTCGAACGAAATAATCCAAATAAGAAAACTCTCATGTATATACCATATGTCTCAAAATTATGAATCGCTAAATATTAACTCCAAAACTAAGAATAAATGAATACAAGAAAGATAATACAGGAAATACCATATCATACATCTCCAAAAATATCATATCAACCCCTCATACTACCCTTAGTGGGTAAAGTAGATATCGATATACTATCTCGTGTAACTAAGTTGTGAAATACCTTCACAATGGATCATATCGATGGTGTAAATATTTACCTACACTTAGGTTATTTATCAAATCATTCTCTGGAACTCTTCAACCCATCGCCCCCTAGTGCGGACTGGTAAAATAGATATGTCAAATCACACTCCCGTATAGACCGATAACTAGATATACACGTTCATCGCACTCCCGTGTGGACCGATAACTAAGTATGTCAATTCATTGCACTCCCGTGCAGACCGATAACTAAGTATAATAACTCATCGCATAACCATGTGGACTGATAGTTAGGTATATAACCTCTGCGCATCTTCGTGCAGACCAATAAATAGATATTTTAACCTCTGTGCATCTTCTTGCGGCCGATAGATAGGTATTTCAACCTCTGCGCATCTCCATGCGGACCAATAAATAAGTATAGTCAATCTGCGGTCTCATTGCAAGACTTGACTAAAATACTCAGAGTATAGTCCATCCACAGTCTCATTATGGAACCCGACTAAACCCTACCTAACTGATTATAACTATAATATATATAATAATAGTCATTACTCTTAACGATTGTAACCTTTTTGGATACCCCCAAACAATTTAAATATGCATACTCAATCACCGTAGGAGTACTCCTCGAACTATATGTGAATATCAGCTCACGTCTTGTACAAAAAATGCTCACCAAATGAACACACAAGCAAAATGTTCAACCTCACAAAAACTCACCTGATCAGTCGACCGACAACCTTATCTGTCGACTGATAGGGTCGTTCACAAAACAACAGGGAAAACATGATCCCATCAGTCGACTGATGTGTGCCATCAGTCGACTGATGTGTGCCATCAGTCGACTGATGTGTGCCATCAGTCGACTGATGACCTCCCATCAGTTGACTGATGGCAACTTCAGTCGATTGAACAGGCCGAAAATGCGCAGTTTGTTCTTTTCTCGTGTTTTCTTCAAAAACTCAGGTTTTTATTAACTTATAGATTAAAACTCGATTCCATTATCATGAATACTTAACCAAGAGTTTTTTTAAATAAGAAGAAACACATGAACACATAGATCTAGGATTTAACATGCAAAACAACCTAATTCTTGTTACATGAACACATAGATCTAGGATTTAACATGCAAAACAACCTAATTCTTGTTTATTTCGACAATCTAAAGCATATAAACTATAATTTAACATGCAAAACAACCTAATTCTTGTTTATTTCGACAATCTAAAGCATATAAACTATATTAAACTGTAATTAACTCTTTAAAATAAACCTAATGATCATGATCATGTCAATATCTCAGTTTCAGATTCGTTCTACTATTCTTGACATAAAATTTAATCATAAACATCACATGTAACATGTTTAACATTAGATTTAAACCCTAAACATAAAGGTGAACATATAAATATCTTAAAAACATGATTTTTATTCAATGGAAAGGTTTGGACAGAGGTGATATTGCCTTTGCACGTATACAAGCCTTTGAAATGAACTGTAAGTGATTACCCCGTTGCCAAACACCGAAAATCATGACTTTTCCTCAACGTTCTCCTCACAAACTCTCCTAAAAACTCACTTTCGGGCTAGGGGTTGAGAGAGAGGAAGAGGAGATGCTACAGTTTGAAACTCTAATGTAAAAATAATAATTTTTATGAAAACACAGGTATATATATAGAGGTAAACTCAAAACAAAACTTATTTCACCCGAACCAGGAAACCTAGTCTGACTGGGAAAACCACCTTCGATAGTTTGGCTATAACTTTCTCATCTGACCTCGGAATGATGTTATATAAGATTTGTTGGAAAGCTGTTGAAGAAAACTACAACTTTAATCTTTTCAGTTTTTCTAGATTCAAACTACATTGGTCTGTAAAACATATAAACTCTTAATTGATTATTTTTTCAGATTTCTCTTCGTTCATGTTTTGTGCATTTGCACTCATATATTCACAAATATACATTGAATTGATTTCAAATCAATTCCTATCATACTCAAACATCAAAATATGTTATTTGTCACCATAATATATATATATATATATATATATATATATATATATATATATATATATAGAGCAATATATATATACTATATATAATATATATATATATATATATATATAAGAAGAAGACGAGAGGAGAGGAGAGAGAGAGAGAGAAATGGTATGCTTAGTACCAAGTAAAATTTTGTGTTTGTAGTGAGTAGTCATACTATTCAGATCCACTCATTTCAATTCCAACACTCCCCAACCCACATGATGGGGCTCCTCTGAATGAGCTACAGGGAATATGTCACCCCTGCCAAGCCCATAAAAACTTATGCGTGTACCAAGAATACACATTTTTCTCATAATTATATATGATAATATTATATATATATATTATATATATATTATATATATATATACTTATAGAGCAGGAATATGCGGTTATACTTAGCGGCAAGGATCCTTGGTAGTGATTGTGGACCATCTTGTCCATACAATCACACCTTGGAGTTGCGTGAGCGCTCCGATCTTCTAGCGCTGTGATGTATGCGACAAGATGTGTACACACATCATACAGCGATCCTTAGTACAAGTATACCATTTTCTCATATATTATATATATATATATATATATATATATAATATATATATATATATATATATATATATTATATATATATATATATATATATATATATATATATATATATATATATATTTATTATATTAATTTATGGCTGAAAATACATATTTGATGTTTGAGTGTAGTTGATAGGAATTTGATTTGCAATCCAATTCAATGACATATATTTGTGAAGTATTTAGCTGCCAAATGCACAAAACATGCAACGAAGAGAAATCTAAATAAATAATCAATTAAGAGTGTTATTATGTTTTACAGACCAAAGTAGTTTGAATCTTAGCCAAAAAACTG